CTTTAAATGGAATCCCAATGAAAACAATGCAGAAGCAGGCAAAAATAATTGTTAAGAATAAAGTATGTCAAACCATTTGGGTTTCCCTCTTTAATGGAGTGACTAGTCTGGTAGAGGAGGGGAATGTGGTAGAAATAATATCCTTGGATTTGAGTAGGTACTATCAGACATGACATTCCATTAAAAACAAAACAGAGGGAATAGGGGCTGATAGAAGTACTCTTAGGCAGATACCTTGAATGGCCCTGAGCAGTGAGTAAACTAGAAAGGGCATGTTCTGGGTAGTACTGTGTACATGAAAGTAGTTGGAGTTCTTTGAAGATATTAACAAGCACATAGACAAGGAGGTTCCAGTCAATATAATATACTTAGATTTTCAAAAAAACTTTTTAACAAGGTCCATCACCAGAGGCTCTTAAAAATTGAGTTATGAATAGGAAATAACCACGCAGCTGGGAGCTTGCTGCTAGGTGCGCCACCACTGGGACTTGCCCTTCCCCTCTGCAGCTCTTTCCTAGTCCCCTGCCTCTGATCAGGGAGCCAGGACCTGGATTTCCATGCTGCTGGGGCAGGGAGACATTGTCCCAACCCTGGCAGCAGTCAGCCCCCAGGGGCCAGGGAACAATGTTCCAGTCCCTGCCAGGAGACAACTATCTCCTGGCCCCGTGCTCCTTGCAAGCCCTTACACTAGCACCCAGGGGGATTCTAGAGTTCCTCCTGCCGGCTGCAGGGGGCTGATGCAGGACCAGCTGAGGCCGGAACAGATTGCTGCCATAAGCAGCAAATCTGCTCCTTGGACCTTTATGTGTAGATGCCTGCCTGGGAGCGTTTACTCATGAGTGGTTTACTCAGGAGTAAACTCTCCTAGATCAAATACATGTGCAGACAAACCCATTGCAAGTAAGGGCCCAGGCTAGAACCTAGTCATCAGGCATTTCACTGAGCCAAACCCACCCTGCCTTGCTTTCTCCTGACCCCAGATGTCTCCTTTTCTTGACTGTCAAGAGGGTCTGCTTCAAAAGGAGGTCTGGCAACAAGTTTAGATGATGTTTGACCTGTGTCATGGTACTTATTGCATTGTATAGAAGTCAGAAAGCCACAGGTACAAACCTTTTTTTCTAGGTGAGGGATACTCAGAACTTGGGTCTCCCAATTTTTATATGAATATGCTAACTATTCAGCTATTGGGCTAACATATGAGAGCACTCTTAGAATCATACAAAGTTACAGTTGGAAGGAACCTCAGGACGTCATCTAGTCTAACCCCTTCTCAAAGCAGAACCATCCTCAGTTAGATTATTCTAGCCAAAGCTTTGTCTAGCCAGCTTTTGAAAGCCTCCAAGGGTAGAGCTTCTACCACCTCTCTGGGTAACCTGTTCCATAACATACTCTCCTAGTGAGAAAATTCTTCCTAATGTCTAACCTAAATGTCCCTTGCTGCAACTTGAGACTTACTCCTTGTTCTGTTATGTGCCTCCACTGAGAATAGTTTAGCTCCATCCTTTTTCGAACCCTGCTTCAGGTAGTTGAAGGCTGCTATTAAGTCACTTTTCAGTCTCCTCTTCTCTAGATTAAATAAGCCCAGTTCCCTCAGCCTCTCCTCAGAAGTCATGTCCCCCAACTCCCTCACCCTTTTTGCCATCCTCCACTGGACTCTCTTCAATTTGTTCACATCCTTTCAGTTTTGGGTCACGCACTACAGAACACAGTACTCCAGATGTGGCTTCAGCAGAACTGAGTAGAGGGAAATAATCATTTCCCTTGACTGACTGGCAACACACCTATCAATGCAGCCAAGTATGTTGTTAGCCTTCTTGGCAACAAGGGCACACTGCTGGATCCTATTCAGCTTATTTTCCACTAACCCCAGGTCCTTTTCTGCAGAGCTATTGCCCAGCCAGGCAGCCCCCAGCTTGTCCTGGTGCATGGGATTGTTCCATCCTATGTGTAGGACTTTGTACTTGTCTTTGTTGAACCTCATGAGATTCCTTTTGGTCCAATCCTCCAATTTGTCTAGGTGACTCTGAATCCTAGCCCTACCCTCCAGCAGATTTATTACTCCACCCAGCTTGGTGTCATCTGCAAACTTGCTGAGGGTGCATTCTATGCCATCTTCTAGGTCATTGATAAAGACATTGAACAAAACCAGCCCAGGACCAAATCGTGGGGCACTCCGCTTGATACCAGCTGCCAAGCAGACATTGAGCCATTGATTACTACTCTCTGAGCCCAATGTTTCAGCCAGTTTTCTACCTACCTTACAGTCCATTCATCCAGCCCATACTTCCTTAACTTGCCTGCGAGAACGTTGTAGGAGATGGTATCAAAAGCCTTGCTAAACTGAAGGTAAACCACATCCACTGGTCACTGTACATCCACAGAGCTAGTCACCTCATCATAGAAGGCAATCAGTTTGGTCATGCATGCCTTGCCCCTGGTGAATTCATGCTGACTGTTCCTAATCAAATTTTTCTCCTCCAAGTGCTTAGAAATGGATTCCTTGAGCATCTGCTCCATGATTTTTCCATGGACTGAGGTCAGACTGACTGGTCTGTAGTATCCTGTATCCTCCTTTTCCACTTTTTAGAATATGGTCACTGTGTTTGCCCTTTTACAGTCATCTGGGACCTCTCCTAATCACCATGAGTTTTCAAAGAGAATGGCCAATGGCTCTGCAATCACATGAGCCAGCACCCTCAGGTGCATTCGATCCAGTCCCATGGATTTATACACGTCCAGATTTTCTAAGTTGTCCCTAACCTGTTCTTTCACCACTGAGGGCTGCTCACCTCCTCCCCAAACTGTGCTGCCAGGTGCAGTAGTCTGGGAGCTGATGTTGCCTGTGAAGACTGTGGCAAAGAAGGCATTGAGCACGTCAGCCTTTTCTGCATCCTCTGTCACAAGGTTACCTCCCCGATTCAGTAAGGGACCCCGCACTGTCTCTAATCCTCCTCTTGCTTTCCCTGATCCTCTTGTCCTCCTGCATCTAATACTCACTAATTGTGGGTTTTGGGTTAACTCTTTTTATGGGGCCAAGAATGCCAATATACATCCATAGGGTATGTATATACATGGTTTTGTATGCACCTATTCTGTGTATAGCGTATTGCACATGTTCATTATGCACACACTGTTAAGTGCCCTCATTGCCAGGAAACCGAATCACTACCTTGGCATAAGTGCCAGCAGTGTCACTTAGATTGCTAAAAACTGCCACTTAGATGATCAAAGAGAAAAAGAACTTTAGCCCTTCCAGTTGCAGCATCCCTAGTGCCACTCAGAGCCCTGAGGTTTGCACTGGAATCTCTGAGTTAGCTGAAAAACAGGTAAAAATCATATGTAAGCAGAGTTTCTTAGTTATTAAGTACAGGGCCATGTTCCTTGTTTATTCTTGTAAATCTGTGTGACCTCATGACATGTCCTACTTTGATATTTTTCTAGTGTTGCATAGTCATAAATGACATGGTATGAGGTACAAAACTACAGATGTTGAAGAAAAAGTCTCAACACACCTGCTACTGGATAAGCATTAAAAATAACCTGAAGGTTGTTTCAAGACTTTTTGTAGGAGAAATATTCACAGCATCTCTGTTTCTGCAGAGCCTAGTGTAACAGAACTGCGTCCCCCCAGGATACATCACTGTGCTGGTCACAAAACCCTTTCTGATATTCAGAGCTACTGCATTGATTTATATCCTTAAGCTCAAGCCTTTGTCAGCTGAACTGCACAATTTACTTTCCATTATCAGTGAAACATGCAATAAAAAATGAGTAAAACAATAAAAATACGTCCAAAATAACAGAGGGAGCTTTTGGTTCAGGAAGCTCAAGCTTTGCAAATACGAGCAAACTGCATATCTTTCTAGGGCCATCTAAGCTGAGTCTGTTCAGAAGCTTCAGTCCTGTTTTATCTTTAGGAAGCAACTGTTTTTTGTTGCAGTTCCCATTTTGCTGTAATTTCATTGCAAACCTGTCCCTCTGCAGTGCCAAATATATTTCAATAGAGGAGATCACGTGACTATGATAGAAATTGAGCCATCTTGGAGAGAGAGAGAGAGATGTGCTATAGAATCTGTTTGGATATGCACTGTTGCTACTAGAAAGGGATGAAGGAAGGAAGACAGCACAAATTAACAATCCTGTCTGGGAAGAAATAGTATTAATTGTTCACAGCATAGGAAAAGAAATGAGATAGTGAAGATCATCTTTTATAATATTTATTAGTTTCACTCCTCTGCAGGCTATTCTAAACTACCAAGGTGTGGTCTGCTGGGACCATGCCAACCTCAGTGCTCTTACCTTAGAAATTATTTGTTTTATTGGGATGCATTTATTGGAGAAACAAGGAAGAACTAAGGAATAAGGATGGAAAGGAATGGGCTGTCCATGTATTTAAATCATCTTTCTAGTACCACTCACTTTATTCACACCACATATATGGCCCACCATGTTCCATGATTTGCCCAAAACCCAGACTTTACTTACTCTAGCAGCAGCCACTGCTTGAATTTCACTGTAAAAAGAGTCTCCACAGTCTAGTACTATCTACACTTCAGGCTAATCTGGAATTTTAGCATCTATTTCAGCTGAGAAAGCATCAGTGCTTCATCTTCAACAATATTCAAAAAAGACTTTAAATAGACCATTTCATGAATAAAATAATTCAGAACATGATGACATACTTTGTGTCTCAGCACCTTGGGGAAGGGTCTGTCTTTTGCACAGCACTGAGCACATTGTCAAGGTTTACTACAACAGCAATGCTTTTTTAACAGTGTCCTTGAAAATGTCCAGCTATGAAGGTGTAGATGATGCAAGGAACAAACTTCATGATAATTTATCGTTATTGATTTTTTTAAAATTTATTTTTATTTAATGGAAAGATTTTTCAGGGACTAACCTCCCTCTTGAAATGTTCCAATTGAGAAAACAATATGTAATTGAGACATTGAAGCAAATAACAACAAACCGCTTAGTCTGTTTTTAATTTCAATCTACAGGCAGACTTGGCAAGTCAGTACCTTAAAGCCGGAGTGAAGAATATTGGCACTGTATTCCTTATGACTGATGCACAAGTGGCTGATGAAAGGTTCTTAGTGCTGGTGAATGACTTGTTAGCTTCAGGTATGTGTCTCATTGACTATTTCTGATTTCCTTTCCCATGTAAATTTGTACACTGTAATGTCTGCAGCCTTTACAAGGAATTCTAACATTTGTTAAAAGGAATAAAATAAGGTACAAAAAATATTTGGACATCCTTTGAGCAGGTGGGGTTAGGTATTGAGGTATTGCTTGGGGTATCATTTAGATAATTGTTTGTCATTTGCTATTCCATTTTAATATTAATATATTTTTATTATTTATTTTGTTTTTTATTGGATGCTGCCCTGAGCCTTATTTGGGGACAGTGGCATATAAATCAAAGAAATAAATAGTTATGTCAGCTAAACCATGAGAATAGAAGTAGTGCTGATATCTGTTTACCAGGCACAGGCTCTATCATCTAATACAGAGGTGACCAACCTGTGGCATGTGTGTCACAAGCAGTCTCTATACGTGGCATTCAGCTAAGCAGGGAAGGGACAGACAGCACAATAGCAGGTAGAGCGGGGAGCATATAAAGCAGAGCAGCACATTTGACAGGGAACATGGGGCAGGAAGCAAAAAGCACAGCAGTAGATCGGGCAGATAAAGGGGATCAGTGGCACTTGAGAAAGGTGTGCGACTAATTTGTGGCATGACTGCCCAAAAGATTGGTCCCTACTCATCTAACATATTTTTGTTGTCTCAAAAGTATAATACCCAGTCAATTAATTTTCTCTAAATGTGCATGGCATTTTTAAATTTTGCTTATAACTTTTAAATTACAGTACTGTGGCAATATGTCAGCAGATTGAGCCAAAGGATGGAGATAGACATTATATTTGAAGTGTTTCAAATTTCAGTGAATGCTCTCCTATCTGCTTTGCCTCCACTCTCCCAAAGCATCTCCTGCTGGAACCCACAGATAAGACTTGGACAAGTAGCTAGGGATTCAGGTTGGGGGAGAGGGGGTGGGGTCACAGGGCCTCCAGTCTTTTGGCTCTGGTGGAGGCAGTGGAGGTCGACTAGACAGGAAAGCAGTGGGGCAGTGGAGGAAGACTAGACAGAAGAGTGCTCATTGATACAGTGCCCAACTCATTGTAGGGGGAGAGGTGAGAGGAAAGTGAACTACTCTGGGATTCTGGAGGGTCCAGGGGGCCCTGTCATACTTCACTGAGCATGCAGACATAAGAGGAAGTGCTTTATTTTCTAAATCAGGGATGGGCAAAATACGTCCCATGGGCCAGATTTGGCCCACCAATTAATTGGATCCACCCTGCAGGTATATGCCCACCAATTGATTATATTTGGCCCACAAATTCCCCATGAAGCTGAGCCCTGCCCATTCCCACCTGGGCAGCCCACACCACTGGGTTCCCTCCCATGCCTGGTTCTTCCCAGTGGAGCTGCTTCTGGTGTGGCTGCAGCTACCCGGGTACTGTTCAGCTCCCCCAACCTCCAGCAGCTCCTCCTCCTTTTCCTCCTGCCCCTGCTGTGCTGCTCCAGACAACAGGTAGCATGGGGTAGGGTGGCAGCTGTGGGGACACGCATTGAGCACTACATGCCCAGACAGGTGATGGAGAAGCTGCAGCCAGGCAACTCCTGCCCCAGCGCGTGGGGCCCCAGCTTCTGGCTGTCTTCCACCCACTCTGCCTGCCCAGCATGATGAGCAGCCACCTGGGGGTGGCCAAGTGGAAGGAAGGTGGCCAGGAGCTGAAGTTCTACATGCTGGCGCAGGAGTCACCTGGCTGCATCTTTCCCACCTCGCCTGGCTGGGCATGTGGTGCCCAGCGTGTGTCCCCACAGCCACCGCTGCTTCCCAGCACTACCTGCTACCCAGAGTGGTGCAGGAAGAGGAGGAGGAGCCACTGGAGGTGGGAGGAGCCAAGCAGTACCTGAGTGGCTTCAGCTACACCTGAAGCAGCCCTGCCAGGAAGCTGTGCATGCTGGTTAGAACTGGGTATGGGCAGAAATGCGGCAAGGACTGCTCTGGGTAGGAGCAGACAGGTGTCAGCCAAATGCGGAGCACTGTGGGTACAGCCGTGGGCTGTTTTTTTCAGGGGGGGACTTCACCTGCACCTGCACCACCCAAGTGAGCTGTGCTGCATCCTCCCTACACACACCCCCACAGACAAACACCCCCACACACACTCCCCACACACCCACCTCTATGCACCCATCCCCTCATACACCTCTCAGCCCACCCTTCCCACACACACTCCCCCACATCGTACTCACATGATATGCAAGAGTAAGACTTTATTTTGAGCTATTATGCAATTCTCTCTATATACACTACTCAAAAGAACATAAATCAGACAACATTTTTTTTATTTAATAAAATTAAAATATGCTATAATAGATGTTTGGTTTTTAGTTTATGATTTGTTTTTTATCTATAATTTGAAATTATATTTTCTAAAATATTTTGTGCGTGGCCCTTGACAGCTCACCAAAACTTGTAACATGCCCCTGTAGCTGAAATAATTTCCCACCCCTGTTCTAAATACTACCAGTTTCTCTTGTGGGTTCCTTTTGGAGTGTTTCAAAGGGTGTAAATGTCTGTACAGCTTGCCTTTTGAAGAGCTTCAGAAGTACCTGAAGCACTTCAAATGTTATATCTGCCCACGCCAAAAGGAGATGTTTCCATGAAGGAATTATGTTCTTGCAATAAGAATAAATTTCATGGTGTAACAAAGCTTCACTTGGTTTGTGAATTCAGTTGCACTGTTTCCCAGAGCTGGGTAAACAATGTATTATAATGAATAGATCATCTGTCCGAATATCAGATTCATTCCAATCCTGTTTCTTTCCTATATTTTTTTTAATCATATTTGTATGGCTCAGGGCTCTTTGTCTTTTGGGGGAGGGAAGGGGGAAGGGGGTTTCAAATGATTGGAAAATAGCTGTTCTATTTGTGAAGGTCCCTATTTTCATGCCGATTACACTATTTGCATGTGAATTTAGATATTTTTATTTGCAAAGCATCTGACGCTGTGTGTGTGTGTGTGTGTAAGCAAACAAATCAGACTTGCTGCCTTGCTTCAGGTCTCTGGCTCTGAACTTCTCCTCAGCACCACAGACCACAGCCTGTCACCTATCCTGTCCCTTTGCATTCTTCTCCTGGAGCTCTTAACCCTGTCTGTGGCTGTACCCTCATTTACTAGTCAAGAGTTGGAGATGGCTCTCAGCCTTCCAGCTAGGCAGACTTTTAACTGCTGACTACTCACAGATGTGTTTCAGCCTCCAAAAGGCTGAGCACCTCTGTACAATGTTGTAAAGTTAGCTTAGTAGAGAACAGAAACAATAGCATGTGGCATATGTGACACAGTACATCATATGCAGTGGTGATGAATGATTGATGACACAGAAGAAACAAAGAGTTTATGACCAATCCACAGGCTGCACTGGGCTGACGCAAAGTATTCAGACAATTCAGCATAGAAGATGAATCCTGAGGCCAGAGCATGTTAAGATGTGATTCATGGGCAGAAAAAAAGGATTTAAACTACTAAGTAACTTTGTTGCCCTGTGGGTTCAGGCCAACTCTCAGGATCTCAATATTGCACTGTTAGACAGGAGAGTGTGACACAATTGCACATATACAAACACACAAATCAATTAGGTGCATACACATGCACACTACCAGCTCAGGCACATACACATCCAAACTAGCCTAGGCACATGCATACCTATCACCAATTCAAGCACATATACTATACACCCCAGAAGTTAGACACAGATCACTAATTCGTATATCCTGCACACAGTGCCATACACACACACACACACAACCCACTTACACATACACACAGGTGAGTTCCTAAGTTGGGTGTTTTTATGTGTGTGTGTGTGTGTGTATGTATGTATATACCTGCTTGGTGTACTTGGGGTACCTGGGGTAAGGTTAAGGTAAGAAAGTAGGAGTGTAGGGAGTGACAGTTCCTGGGAGTGAAAGTCACCGGGACCAGGATTAGAACCGGTAGACTAGAGGGGCCTGGGCTGAAGAACTGAGGCTCGGGGGTAACTTTTAGCGTGCAGGACAGGGGAGTGATGCTGGCACAGAGGCTGGGACTGGAGCCAGAACTATGGGGGAGCTGAAAAGATAGATGGGGAGAGGGAAAATGGGACTAAGGGAAAGTGTGGGTGTTAAAGAGGGGCACTGGGTGTGGGGAGCCAAAGGATGGGTCTGGGGCAGCTAGAGAAGCTGCAGGGAGCAGCAGTAGGTGCTGGGAGCTGGAGAAAACTGCATGACAGCCACGAGGAGCTGGGAAGCTACAGGGGGCGGGGGGAGGACTACAGAAGGTGTGGGGGAAGCCTGAAAACAGAGAGACGGACAGCAGAAAATCACAGAAAAAGCAGCAGGAGAGACTGAAAGGTGGCAGGGACAGTGAGAAAGCAGAGAAAGGCAGCAGAAAGTCACAGTGAAAAGGCAGCA